GCTTACTCTCTCCTGTATAGTCCGAGGCTCCTGCGATCAATAGTTATTTCTCTAACTTTTACAATCGGAAGGTCGTTTCATCAGAATCCGTCTAATGATCTTGCAATAAAGAGATACTCTACCGTGCCTATTGCATCTCTCTTCACCCTCCTACGCTTCTCAAGCAAACTTTTTGTTTCTTCTGAGATCTTTCCTTTCCTTCGATGTACGTAGGTACGCAATGCATGCGTACTGCACTGCCACGTAAAGCATTAAAATCCCACCCGGTCCATCTTTGGGTACACAGGTATTAGTACTGTCGCTGTAAGATCATTATCATGAACTGTTAGAAATGCCAAAAATGTACTTATATATCACAAAATCTTAGAAACTGAAGTACCACAAAAAAAACGGGTTGTGTTTACACAACTTACTTTGGCTTTGTTGTAATAAAATCCGGTCCTGACGGGCTCACCGTAAGTCCAGTCAAGCTAACGACGTTCAGAGCTTTCGAATCCTATGCGAAATAAGTTAATTTAAACTGAGCACAACTAAGTTTCAATTACCTCTGGGGATGTATAAATGTATACACATCTTTCCTTCAGAACGATGTATCGCTTCGTCCAGTGGTGACTGAAAACTCGATGAGGAGCCATCGATACGTGCACCCAGCCGCTGTGATCTGTGCTGCCCAGACTTCGACATGGAATTTCCTTCCACGTGACATCGGCTAAGTGAACTGTTCAATAAACCGGACGCATGTTAATAAATAAACTCTCAGAGCGAAACGATCCATATATGACATTTCAGGGAGGAAAAGGACGTAGAAAAAATGCTTGTTAATCGAAACTACGTAATAACGAAAGTTCAAATTCCCTCCCATAATAATGAGATGTGAACGAAAATGCAGATCAACCAGTCTATGAAAAGTAGCATAAAATGGTTTGTTGCATGTACAACGCAGAAAGCGGTTAATCAGATGATTAACCGATATAAACGTTTTGGTCCTTATCCCACATATTCTCTCATGATAAATTTAAAAGTGCATACAGTTGTATAGTTAAAAAGTTAATGTAATTAAGGTTTGGAGGCCGCTCCGGTGGCCTGCAACAGATCGCAAGTTTGGCCTCTCGGTTAGGAACTTATGATCATCTGTAAATTGCCAAAGTGACTTCTGACCAAGAACATTAATCAAATACTTAATTTGAAGGACAAGGTATAAACCCTCTGCATCGATCAGTCATTAAGTTGACTACCGCGTATGTTGCGTATAAAATGAACCTTTCTCATGCCATTTTTCAGTATGAGTACAAACGCACGAACCAAACACTCATCCATAGGCAACTTCAGTTCATGTCAAAACAAGTGTTTAAAATTTACCGGCTTCATTTTCAATATAAAATTGAATTAAAGTTACGCTATGAAAACCAAATCGTCTGGTTCAAGTTTGTGCTGGCAAAAGCTGTGGAAAATTTTTTAAAATTTAATGGTTACAGGACAAAATTTAGTAAGCCGCAAACTCGGGTGAGGTTTGTTAGTATGTGAAACAAATGATGGTAGACACCTTTTCCAAAGAGCACTGCATAATCTTACGAAAAATCTAAAAACACTCAAGAATATCATATGCACGCAGTTGTTTTTGATACCGCGGATATCTCAGTCTCGGCTAGCAACTGCACAATCAATAGTCGGTAAAGCCCAGATTGACGTGGCAGGGCGTTGAACCGGCTACGAGTGCCAAGAAGCATCGATGACACGCATTCACCCTTAGAATGCAAATAACAGTCATCAGCCACGACACCTTGACCCAGACGACAGTAAACTTGACAACACACAACTTTCAGAAACAACTCATTCCATTTAATGGTGTCCGTCCAGATCATGAACAGTTCAGTCATTGCATGAAATCTCACTTTTCCTATATGGTCTATCGATTTCCACGACTAATATAATCTGATTTGTTTTATCCGATGGTACGCCATCGGTTTAGCGATATATCTTCCACAGTGTACATCTCTATGATTGTTGCGTAAAGTTTTCGATGTTCAATTCTTCTGCGTTTGTGTATATACTATACATAGATAAATATTACTTTACCATATATGTAGTACAGAAACAGTTGAGCATATAGATTGAGTATATAGACACACCATACGTTCATACGCTGGACATACCATGAATAAATATTTTGCACATGTGTTGCGGGAAAAATCTGTAATCCATCCATGAGTGCATAAACTGATCTATACCGGTGTTGACTGAAACTGATTTGCGACTTATTCCAAACCGGTAATGTCGCAGTAATTTCAATGGATTATTGATAAACCTACTCTTATACCTAAGCTCCAGCATTCTTGCCCACATATTAAAGTTTGCGCAGTGGTATATATGTAACTGAGGCCTTGGTAATATGATGATAAATACCACATATTACCACTCTGGATTGCAATGCAAATTAGTTTCAGCCCATACTGATATGGACGGTTTATCACTCCTGAAGGTAGCGCATAAAAGGCATGATTCAAATATGGTATATCGTGCACGCGATACATAGAGTGCAGTATATTCACAGCAGGGCATACGGTAAGATACGTGTGCTGCTAAAATAAAATAGAGAACGTAAAAGGCACATCTTGTGTATACGATAGAAACAAGTGTAGCACACAGAAGGTAGTAAATATACAAGATATTTACATCCAGCGTCGTAAGTTATTTCTGCATATGCAATGCTAAGTGATTCTTGCATGATTTTAGCAGCTGAAGCAATTTTGAATGTTCCGCGAAAACTTGACGAGTGCTAAGTACTAAAACGCAACTTGCGAGAATAGACGAACGCTTTATCCGATAAACAGCGAGCAACGCATCTACAGCTAGTACTACTCGCGGTTCAGTGCAGGGGTGACTTTCTTAAACGGCGAACATAACCTAATATGCGCAAGGAAGTGGCGAAATCCAGTGAACACAGGAGCTGAATGCTTACCAATCCTCCGTATCCAAGGCATGGTGAATAAAACCATGAAACATGTAAATAAATTTTACACTGTCTTGTAAAACTGTAGTCGATGGGGCTCGTGACGAAATATCCATTGTGATCTCGAACGTGGGACAACATGTATATAAAGCTGCTGGATGATGTAAATCCTTTGAAAACGTGATTAAACATACTTCATGTTTTATGTACTATGCAGAGTGCGGACAATAACATGGATTAA